TCTGCTTCCTTATAGCCTGGACAAACTGGAGCTAGAACACCTTGAGCTAATATGTTTCATCTTGGTTTTTTTGCCTCCAAGGAAACCACGTGTGCATGTGGTCGCATGCGTGAGGTCTGAGCCATAACACTCCTGTTGTGAACATGATGCACTTGAAATTTCCTGGGAACTGGGAATCAAAATATGCCTACTTGTATCCAGGCTATGAATCTGAGGAAAGGGGTGGAAGAAGGAAAACCTGCTGTTAACTGAGAGATCAATCTCCTACATTTTTTAATTTGAAACCTATCTGCCCTGCTTGCTGCGATGCAGCCAGCTCTAGTCTGGGTAGGCTGGAGGCTTTATAAGAAAGTGAACAGTCCAGCAATTTGTTTTAGAAAAGGCAAACCTAAACTCCCGCCTGCTGGAATTGCAGCAGGAGTATTTGATAGGCTGTGGTTGGACCCCTCTGCAGCCCTCTGTGTCAGCAACATGTGATAAAGCATAAGTAAAAATTAATGATGAAGTGTAAATAAGGCCTTTTACAAAAAACCTTCTATGCTCATGTCCAACAGGTGCTGAACCAGTGAATTACATCCACATGAGACACCAAATGCTAAACCTAGAAAAGCCCCATGATTATTCTCACCTTCATGCAGAACCAGACAGAAACGGGGAAGGTCATTAGGATGAACAGGAAAGACAAGATGGTCAGAAGCCACTCACAGATGCCCAGACCTGGAGACTTTGCACCTAGGGAGAAATCCAACATGACTGTGTTAGGAAGAATTGCTCCCAAAATATGATGGCCTGACAAGTGCCTGTGAAGATCAGTTTTAGTGTTGTCCTAGACCTGGTGTATGTGAACCATTTGGCTCTCTCTGGAGCTGTGTTAAAGAATACTCCCTGTCCCAGGTATCCAGGAGCTGCCACAATGGACTGACAGATTTTGTCTCTGCTTTGCTGGCAGAAATTGAGCCATGCTTCTCCATAGTGCCTTGGGCACCCTGAGCAGCCTCTAGCTGAAACACTTGTGACTACAAGCAGTGTCAAAAGGCTTGGATTGGGCAACTCATTGGCTGAGCTGGGATCCCAGAATCTTACCTGGCAAGACAGGCTAGTGGCAAAGAGATTGCAAATAAGAGGTAGCTTTGAGCATGCAAAGCCTGAAGTGCTGTTCTCTATCAGAATATTTCATGTCCTTTCAGAATAGCATTTTAGTGGGACCCAGCCACCAATGCCACTGAATCCTCCCTGTGCTCTTCAGCACTCACCCCAAGGTGCTGGAGGCAGAGACCCAGAGAGTAGACCATGTTTTCCAGCACTGAAGTTAGCATCCTTGCACCCTTCCCATCTCAAATCTCTTTGGGCCTTTCCATCCCTGCCCCTTTGCCTTTGGAGCTCTCTGCAGAGCCACCAGGTCCTGAGGAAGGTTGAGATTCCAAGAACCTGTGTGATCACTAGAGCACCACACCACTTGCTCGCTAGATGGGATTCCCATAATTGAGGCAGAAAGAGGCAGTTATGAAAAAATTATTTCCCAGAGAGACAGGAGCAAGTCTGAACCTTTGTGTCGCTCCAGGGCAGCAGAGGTGCTGGCATGGAAGCAGACAAGTAACCCATTTCTTATAAGACACATCCTGCCAAAAGACTTGTGGTGCTCATTCCTGTTGTGGCCGGCTGGGAATGCCCTGCTCCTTTAGAGGTTTATCCAGAAGAGGAGCTACAAGTGCAGTCTGTGCAAGGTGTGTGTGATGACACTCACTATGCAGAAAGCAGAGTCGCACAGTGACAACACAGGGTCAAAGAACCCATAGTTTTCCAGCCCCTTCCCTTCCACGAGCCCTACCTTCCTCTTGCTGTTCGCTGTCCAGCAACGCCATTGCCTCCATTTCTTCATCAGACACCACATCATCCACGTCCACCACCGTGGATGTGTGCACCCTTCCATCAGTCCCTGCAGTGCTCTTGAGCTCCTTCGCTTTCTCCTGCTTTATGTCTCCCCTTCCTTTGCTGGCTTCTCTTCTGCTCTCCTTCTCTCCTTTCCTCTGGGTAGCTGGGGATTCCCTGCGTCTCTTATGAGACTCCCTGGAAGAGCTCCGAGACCTCTTATCCATCCTCATCTGTGCCAAGGACCATGAAGCTGCCTGTGGGAGTTGGATGAATCTGTGCTTGAATTTATTGCTGCAGGCAGGAAAAGCAGGTGGGGCTGGGGGCAAGGAGGGCAGAGAAGGGGGAGGTGTCAGATCAAGGGGACTTCTTTCAATTTAATCACAGGCTTGTCAGACATAATCGACAGTGAAGCAAGAAAGCTGTTTCCCAGCTGCTCTGGTCTCTTCACACACTGCTGTGGAGGTGGGAAGGAAGGTTAGACATGGACAGGGTGGATTCGAGGAGAATGTTCTGTTTGCATCTTCCTGCCTTTGGAAATAAAATACAATCCAAGACATTCAGATGATTTTTAGTAGATAAGTTTCTGCAGAGAGGCTGAAAAGCCTAAAAACCTAAAAGTAACTGTCACACATGTGGTTCCAAAGACCTAAAATGGTGAGAGTGGCTTAGAGCAAGAAACACCAGGGTGAAAAACCTTTACTGGTGAGATCAGTGGAGAGGGTGTTGCAGAGAATGGCTGGGTGTGCAGCATCTCTGGTCTGCTCTCTAGAAACCTTTTGCCTGGCACAGTGGAGGGACAGAGGCATTAAAAGAAAACCCACTAAAATGTGAGGTGACCCTCT